ATTGAAATCTGCTTTAGCTTCTGGCACTGCTTTTATTTTTTTTATGCTATTTGTTTAGCTACTTTTAGCTTTTGCCTACTTTTTGCTAGGCTAACTTTAATCCTTTCATGCTTTTAGGTAGCTTTTAGGTACTGGTCTGCTACATTTAACAACTACCTAATCTTTTGTTAAGGTGTTTAAAACTTTTTTCTAAATGTCACTTTGTAAAATTTAGCCACTTTTTGCTTTTAGCATGCCCTGTCCTATTTTTGGTATTTGTTAGCTTTTTTTTTTAACTTTCAGCTTCTCTTCTGCTAATTTTAGCTTTTAGCTAGTCTAGCTACTTACAAAGTTTGCTAGCCTTTTGTCACATTTAGCTTTTATCTAACCCTTTCTTACTTTTAGTTTTTAGCATTTTTATTAAGCAGTCAACCACCATTTTTGCTAACTTYAGTATTTGCTACTTTTTTGCTACTGTAGGTTCTAGCTAGCTAGTTAGCACTTTGCTACTTTTAGTTATTCTTTTGCTGATTTCACGTGTTTGTCAGGTTTACTTTTTAAAGATTTTAGCAAGGATTTTTACTACTTTCAGCTTTTAGCTAAAGTTATTCTGCTCTTAGCTTTTAGCTTGCCCTTTCTTGCTCTTAGTTCTTTGTTAGCTTTTTTAAGCTTTCAGCTAGTGTATTTAAAGCTAAAATATTTAGCTTTAAATTACTCTTCTTGCTACTTTAGGGTTTAGATAGCTTTTTGCTGCTTTTAGCTTCTTGTTACAGTTTTGCTACTTTAAACTTTTAGCTAACATCGTACTGCTTTTAGCCCTTTTACTTTTAATTCTTTGTTAGCTTTTTTAAACTTTCAGCTAGTGTTCTAATATATATAGCTTAAAATKACCTTTTTTGCTACTTTAGGGTTTAGATAGCTTTTTGCTGCTTACTTCAATTAAAAAATACTTTATTGATCCCAGAGGAAAATTAAGTAGCTTCTTGTTTAGCTTTAGCTTTTTCTTCCGTGTTACAGTTTTCTTACTTTAAACTTTTATCAAATATTCTGATAAACGTAGCTTTTAGCTACTCCTTTCACAACTTTAGGTTTTAGTTAGCTTTTTGCTGCATGTTAGCTTTTAGCTGTCTTTTGGTTTGTAGGTAGCGTTTTGCTACTTTTGTCTTAGAGTGCATTTTGGGTTTCAGGTGGCTTCTAGTTTTTGCTTTTATTTCATGTTCTACTTCTTTTAGCTGTAACCAGTGGTGGACAAAATACTCAACTCTAGTACTTGAGTAAAAGTACTGATACTCATGGTCAAATCTTACTCAACTACAAGTAAAAGTTTCTCGGTCAAAAATCTACTTAAGTTAAAGTACTGAAGTACTTACTTTTGAAAATACTTAAGTATTCAAAACTACAAATTAAAATGTCTAATATCAGTACATTGCTGTATTGTTTTCAGTGATTTTACAGAACCTTGTAACTCTACCTGAAACAGGTAGAACTACTTTGCTACAAATTCTAAACCACCTGTAAAAACTTCAGAATAAAAATGCAATAAAGTGAGTGTAATAATGTGGAATGGCACAGGGAAAAAGTATTGAACACACTTACTGAAATYTATCTAATACTTTGTACAAAAGCCTTTGTTGTCAATGACAGCTTCAAGACGCCTCCTGTATGGAGAAACTAGTGGCATGCATTGCTCAGGTGTGATTTTGGCCCATTCTTCCACACAAACAGTCTTCAAATCTTGATTTCGTGGACCTCTTCTATGAACTCTGATCTTTAGTTCTTTCCATAGATTTTCTGTTGGATTCAGGTCAGGTGATTGGCTGGGCCATTCCAGCAGCTTTAGTTTCTTTCTCTGAAACCAACTGAGAGTTTCCTTGGCTTTGTGTTTGGGCTCATTGTCTTGCTGAAATGTCCAGCCACGTTTCATCTTCATCATCCTGGTAGATGGAAGCAGATTTTTATCAAGAATGTCTCTGTACATTTTTCCACTCATCCTTCCTTCAGTTATTTGAAGTTTGCCAGTACCATATGCTGAAAAACAGCCCCACACCATGATGTTCCCACCTCCAAACTTCACTGTTGGTATGGTGTTTTTGGGCTGATGTGCAGTGCCATTTGACCTCCAAACATGATGTGTATTCTGGCATCCAAACAGTTCAATGTTGGTCTCATCTGACCAGACTATATTCTCCCAGTATTACACAGGCTTGTTTAAATGTTGTGCAGCAAACTTTAAAGGAGCTTCAACATGCTGTTTCTTCAGCAGTGGAGTCTTGCGTGGTGAGCGTGCATACAGGCCATGGTGGTTCAGTGCATTACTTATTGTTTTCTTTGAAACAATCAAACCTGCTAATTCCAGGTCTTTCTGAAGCTCTCCACAAGTGGTCCTTGGCTCTTGGACAACTCTTCTGATAATTYTTTTCACTCCTCTGTCAGAAATCTTGTGAGGAGCACCTGGTCGTGGTCGGTTTATGGTGAAATAATGTTCTTTCCACTTCTGAATTATGGYCCCAACAGTGCTCACTGGAACCTTCAGAAGTTTAGACATTCTTCTGTAACCGATGCCATCATTATGCTTTGCAACAATAAGGTTGTGAAGGTCTTGAGAGAGCTCTTTACTTTTACCCATCATCAGATGGTTCTTGTGTGATACCTGGCCATCATTTGGGACTGAACCAGCTGATGTTAATTTGCACTGACAAGGGGCAGGCTTGCTTTCTAATTACTGAGAGAGTTCAGCTGGTGTCTTGKCTTTCCATGCCTTTTTACACCTCCCTTTCTTCATGTGTTCAATACTTTTTCCCTGTGCCATTCCACATTATTACAAATAACTTCATTCCTGGACATTTATGGTTTGATTTCTTTGTATATATGGATCACTTGGGTTGTTACAGACATGTGGTGAAAATTTCATGTCATTAGCACCTCTAGTAATATATTTACTGAGAAAAATGGTGACATGTTCAATACTTATTTTACCTGCTGTATTTTTGATTGTCACTCTAGTTTTAACTTTTCTGTTTTTGGTCACGCATTTATTGTGACATATTTTTAAATATATTTATATTTCTCCCAGGCCTTACTGAGTATCTAACTGAGTAATAAATAAGTTACAGAGTTACTTCAAACGGTAACTGAGCTGAAGTATTGAAGCTACAGTCACCTCACACTTTGTGGACGTGAACAAACTCGTTTTGTGTGCGTATCCTTGCTACACTCTGATTACTCGGTTCCTCGGAGGTTCGGGGCTGTAGTGAAGATGTTTTATGTTCTGGCAGATGGTGCCGAGGTAATCTGAAGTAATGCAGTTGTCAGGCTCTATTGTCTCGGCTGCTGGCCTCATCTCCCACTTGCACCCCATAAAAGCAAAGTCATTTAAACCGCTAATGAAGTGAAGAGTCTGGACCAGCAGCAGATAAAACCAGCCAGGAAAGAGATCATTTCCGCAGCTCCTCGTTCACCTCGCTGAAGGAAAAATTCATGTAAAAAAATCAGGTTTTAGCTTCGTTTTCACATCCGTTGTTCAGTTCARTCTGATCAGTCCAACCCAGAAATTCCGTTTAGATATTTAAAATGTAGCACTGAAGGAAGTCATGTTAATTTTTCTAGAAACTACTTTTTGTGTCAGGAAAGTGGAAATTTTTTTATTCGATAATTTGATTAAGGAAAAAAAATTAATGGTTTCTGTACAGAAGTTTATGTCCCGAAGGGGCGATTAACTTGTCGGTAGCTGATGCTGAATGGTAAATTTTATGATCAGACATCTGTGAGCAGCCAGCTGGTTCTGCTGGGTCGAAGTGTTGGACCGTCCTGCAGCAGAACACGACGGAGAGGCCGGTCCTCGCTCGTTGAGAAAAGCTCAGGCTTCAGGTCTTTGACCAGTGATTGGAACAGGAAGCTGAGTGGATTTGTGTGTCGGACCCAAGGGAATTAGATTGACCTCAGGGAGGCCGTGGTTCTGTTCCTGCCTGTCGGTTCTGACCCGTAAATCAGACACAAAGCTCCTCTCTGTTGGCAGAGCCACGGGCCGTACATTTCCTTTATCATCCCGCCGGCCAGACGACCAATCAGGACAAAACCCAGCCAGGGAGATGAAGATTACCACTGAATGTGTGTTAGGTTTTCTGATGAAACAGTAAATCTGTCTTTGTGAAACACTTCAACTGAAACATGACGTAATGCTCAAGAAAATGAAATAAGAAATTCATGAAATTATGACGTTTAATTTGTTATCAGTTGAGGGTGAAAATGTAATCCCATGTTTGTATGTGTTTGCTGTCGTTTTTAAGAAAAAAGTAGAGAATGGCTAAAGGTACAATTGTACGGAGCACCCAGGGCGACTTTGGAGGTATATATATAAATAATATATACATAGTTATATTTATTTATTTATTTATTTTTTAGGTTACCTCCCAAAAAAAATTGGGAAAAAGAACCTTTTTGCAAAGCCCCAAAGAGGGCATTGGGGGATATTTTTGTTTATTTTTTTGTGTTGTCTCCCAGAGTTTGTTTTAAAGAAAAATATTCCAGAAGAAGGCTAAAGGTACGTTAAGCCCATGAGGCAAYATCGGGGATCTTTTTTCTTTTTTACTTCTTAGCGTTACCTTGCAAAAGTTTTCTTTTTTAAAGAAAAATAACCCTGAGGATGTCTAAATGTATGTTTTATGGAGCCCCCGAGGTGACATCAGTGGATTTTGTTTTTGGCAAAAGTTGTGCATTGTCTTTGTTCCTGTAAATTTCTTAATGAATTCACATACATACCATTATATAGGAGTTAATTCAGCTTCGTCGTAAACATATCCCAGACACGCAACGTCACCATCCTTAACTTGTAGTGACACATCCTGTTTCTGTAACGATATATTTCAAAATAAAAGTCTCATTCAATATAGTTAATACAAAGTATTACAGTTGCATTGAGAATGAAAAACTTTTGCAAAGGAACAAAAAATAAATAAATAAAATCACCCGATGTCCCCTGGGGATCTGTGTATTGTTAACATTTTCATTTCTCTCTCTTCAAGCTGGTGGCGGCGATAATCGTCATCAGTATCGGAATCATCGCGTCGTTCGTCTGTGCCATTGTTGACGGGATCATCGCCTCTGAGTTCATAGTGAGTGTTGCACGTATTTAAATAATAAAAAAAACAGATAAAAATTACGATTAGGGCTGCTAAAGAAGCTGAAACTGAGAGGCTAAAGCAAATTTAAAAAGCAGGAGAGGAAATGACTAAAAGGAGCAAAAAGCTATCTACGGTTAAAAAAGCAAAACAGCTAACTGAAAAATCTGACAGTAAAGACACGCTAACCAAAAGCTACAAACAGAAAAAAGCTATCTCAACTAGTAAAACAATAGCTAAAAGTCATAAAAGACTAGCTACAGTTGGTAGAAATATAAAGTAGAAAAATGATAGCTAACAGTAGAAATAACCTGCCTAAAAGCTTAAGTAGCACATTGCTAGCTAAACATTGCAAAATGCTTGCTAGAATTAGAAACAGTCTAKCTAAAACTAGCAAAAGGCTAACTCAAAGCTAATGTGCTAGGTAAAAAAAATAATTCTCAAAAAGCTAGCTAAATGATAAAGCAGCAGTTAGCTAAATCCAAAAAGTACTAAAAACGCAAGTTAAGTAAAGCAAACAACTAAAAGCTAAAAGTAAAAGTCTCAAACCTAAAAATAGCAAAATGCTGCCACAATTAACAAAAAGTTGTCTAAAAGTAGAACTCTGTTAGCTAAGGGCTAAAATTTAGCTAGCTAAATGTAGCAAAATACTAGATAAAAGCTAAAAATGTCAAAAGACTTGTAATAGAGATAAAAGTAAAATGTTAGCTACATGTTAGCTAAAAGCTAATAAACAAAATGCTAGTTAAAATCAGAAAATGGTTATAAGATACTGTAAAAGTAGCAAAAAAATGGAAATAGCAAAGGGCTAGATAAAAGTAGCAAAACTAAACAATCTAATGGAAAAATGTTTCAACTGGGGGAAATCAGGATTATCTTTTGATTGATTGAAATTATTATTTTAATATTCAAATTTTTTAATCTACAGAAATTAAAAAGTCTGAGGTTTAACATTATCCTTGTAGCATCCCTGCTGCAGCTCCAAATGTGCATTCCAGATATCRATCAGCTTTATTATCTCATTTCTGCAGATAAATGTGTCCTTCTTCACTGCACGTTCAGTATGGTGAAAAAAATATATATTTTATTACCCCGTTGAGCTGCAGATTGCGCAATGAGGAATAAAAGGGTGTGGTTGTAAACCTTAACTACTCCAAAGATWCAAAAAGACCTAAAAAATAAGAGATTGTAAACAATAAATTTTATTTTGTAGATTATTATAGCCTAGATGTCATTGATCTACTAAAGGAAAATACAGTGTTATTGTGTTTCAACCCTAATTAATCATGATATGTATCATTTTTAGGACATCAGGCCCGTGGAGGAGGACATGTGTGACTTTTACAGGAGTGAATCAGGATACGTGTACGACAGCTACTACTCTGAGGTGACCCTGACTCACATGTCTATGGAGGACAGAACCTATCATTATTGGAAATAAATGTATAAATATATAACTGGCGTATTAAAATAAATTTTAGGGTCAAAAAGAAGTTTGACAAATAAATTATTGTGCCGTTAAATCAGTTACATCAATTATTTAGGTATAAATGTGTATTTACATTTTAATTTTGAAGGATTATATTTTATACGTTTATTTCCAATAATGATAGGTTCTGTCCTCCATACAATGTCACCTCTGTCTGAGTTTCAACAAAGTTTTCAGCATCTTTAAGACTTTTAACACAACGTAGGGCGACATCTAGTGGCCAACACATGTCACTGCAGCGATCACTGAACCTGAAGCACATCTGAATTTTTTTTTTATCAAATTGAATTAAATGTTATTACAAGTTCTTGATGTTATTAGCCGACAGGTTTATGAATGAGTCCAAACGGTTAGTCTAAAGTCCAGCTCACCTGCTGCTTGCGTTGAGTTTCATGACTGTCCCCTCCAGGTGACGTGCCGCTCCTTCAACAAAGCCTGCAAGCTGAAACTGAGGAGCAACACCTGCTACTGCTGCTACCTGTACAACTGTGACAGGTGAGACGTTTGGACACCAGACGTCTTTCAATAAGCAGAAACTTTGTTTTTTTTTTTACGTCTATAGAATCAACTGTTTGCTAATTTTGTATGTTTACAGCAGCTGTTTTGCTTCTTTTAGCTTTTAGCTGCTGCTTTACTTGTTTTAGTTTTTAGCTACTATTTTGCTAGTTTAACATTTTAGCCACGTTCTATAGAAGTTAGCTACTATTTTGCTCATTTTAACTGTTATGGTAGCTTTTGTTCTGCTAATTTTACCTTTTAGCTACTATTTTGGTAATTTTAGCTATTAGGTCATGTTAGCAAATTTTAGCTTGAGGTTAGTTACACAGTAGCTACTGTTGTGCTAATATTTAATATTACAGTAGCAGTTTTGCTAATCTTAACTATTAGCTACTGTTTTGCTAATTTTTGCTTTATATCATGTTTTGTAAATTTTAGCTTTATGCTTGTTTTTATAACTTTTACAGTAGCTACTGTTTAGCAAATGTTGGCTTTACAGTAGTTGTTTTGCTAATTTCAACCTTTAGCTAGTTTATCAGGTTTTAGCTTTTAGCTACTGTTGTGCTGGTTAAACCTTGCAGCCACTGTTTATAGAGTTTAGCTATTGTTTTGCAAATTAGAAAACTTTTATAGTAGCTTTTTTCTTCTAATTCTAACTTTTGGCTACCATTTTGCTAGTTTTAGCCTTTAAGTCTTGTTTTGTAAATTTTGTTTTTTTGCTACTTTATTATTTTTTCAGCTTCTACAGTAGCTATTGTTTAGCAAATTTTGCATTTAACAGTAGCTATTTTGCTCATTTTAGCCTTTAGCAACTGTTTTCCTTTTTGCTACCATTTTCTTGGTTGAACCTTTTAGCCACTGTTTATAGCTTTTAATAAATTTAGCTTTTGTTTAGATAAATAAAAGTTTTATCTACTGTTCTCCATGTCTTAGCTACAGTTTTGTAAATATTTTAGCTACTGTTTAGCTGATCTCTTATTCAGAATAGACATTATGTTTTTTGGAGCCAGGGTCTTTACACTAAATATTGTGTCCTTCATACAAAAATCCCACCCACACATCTTCCAAACCTAATGACAAGCTGTCAATCACAGTTAACAAGCTGTCAATCACAGACAACAAGCTGTCAATCACAGATAACAAGCTGTCAATCACAGATAACAAGCTGTCAATCACAGACAACAAGCTGTCAATCACAGACAACAAGCTGTCAATCACAGTTAACAAGCTGTCAATCACAGATAACAAGCTGTCAATCACAGATAACAAGCTGTCAATCACAGTTAACAAGCTGTCAATCACAGTTAACAAGCTGTCAATCACAGATAAGCTGTCAATCACAGATAACAAGCTGTCAATCACAGTTAACAAGCTGTCAGTCACAGATAACAAGCTGTCAATTACAGTTAACAAGCTGTCAATCACAGATAAGCTGTCAATCACAGTTAACAAGCTGTCAATTACAGTTAACAAGCTGTCAATCACAGATAAGCTGTCAATCACAGTTAACAAGCTGTCATTTACAGTTAACAAGCTGTCAATCACAGATAACAAGCTGTCAATCACAGATAACAAGCTGTCAATCACAGATAACAAGCTGTCAATCAAATATAAGAGCACCTTTGAATAAGCGAGAACTTTGTAGAAGAGGGAAATATATTTGGGTGTCGTCAGCGTAACATAACACCATAAATCATGTAGTTGATGACAGAAATATTTCAGATGCTAAACAGAAATTCCTTCTTCCTCCTCCAGCTCAGACTACCACCCACACTACTACGAGTTCACCAGGGTCAACGGCTGCTCTGACGTGATCCACCTGTACCGGCTGCTCTGGACCTCCGTGGTGCTGAACATCGTCGGCCTGTTCCTGGGCATCATCGACGCCGCCATCCTCGGAGCGTACAAGGACATGGTGAGAAGGAGCTGAAATAATGAAAATCTGCTTTTTGATTTAAAATCTGACACGGAAAGTGAAAAACTAAGCCCAAAGTAGAAAAATGTTGAATTRATGTTAACAGGTTTGTTTCTTTAACTTTTAGCTATTGTCTTGCCAATTTTAGCTTTTAGCTTCTGTCTTGCACCTAATAGTTTTTTTTAGCAAAAGCTTAGCTTATTTACATACTGTATTTGCTATGGTCCTGCTAATTTGAACTTTTAGCTACTGTTATGCAACATTTAGTTTTTAACTATTGTTTTGTAGTTTTTAGCTGTTAGTTATGGTTTTGCTAAGTTTGGCTTTTATATTTTGTTTTGGTATTTTTAGCTATTAGCTAAATTTTGCTACATTAATTTTTTTAGGTAGTGTATAGGTTATTGTAGCTTTTAGAAACATTTTTCTCCTTTTACTTTTTTACAATTGTGTTCCCAATTTTAGGTTTTAGCAACTGTTTACATTTGAACTTTTAACTACAATTTAAGTAATTTCAGCTTTTAACTACTGTCTTGCTTATTTTAGCATTTTGTCACTGTTGTGCTAAATTTAGCTTTTAGCTATAATTTTTCTCCTTTAGTTCCTAGCTATTGTCTAGATAATTTTCGCTTTGGTCTTGTTCACATTAGCTTTTAGCCGCTATAGACAGTTTTCTTTAGCTACAATTAGTTTCACTCTAAAGCTAAAGTTCGGCTCTCTCCTGCAGCGGAAGCCCTCTCCGGTGGTTTCCAGTCCAGCACCTCAGCCCCACATCCTGTACAACCCCACCCAGCACATGATCAGCTACTCCGGGTTCTGCCCTCCGGGTCCGGCTCTGCCCGCGTACCCAAACTACCCCGTACCTCTGCAGGTAGGTGGACAGGAAGGACCACCAGGTAGTGTTGTAGTACTCAAAACTGGTCTTGGTCTTAAGACCGGTCTCAAGACCAGTTTTTGACGGTCTTGGTCTTGTCTCAGTCTCGGACATTGAGGACTCGGAATTTTATTTCAAGACCAGTCAAGACCACAACTGTGGAAATATCACAAAAATAGCCAGATTATTGTCCAGTTTATTAGTTAACATTCTTGCTTTCATTGGATTTAAAGTGTAGTTAGTGATTCAAGTCCAAAACTGACTTATTTTCTATTTATGCATTTTTGTTACCAGCTGTCACCCATCCCCAGCCCCCGTCACTCGCACATAGCACTCCTGAAAAGTGAACCGTGGTTCTCTGGGAGCGGTAAAAGATGTCTTCAAAATTTTAAGAAAAAAATTTGGCTACATTATTCATAAATAATATCATTATAAAACAACAACAAGCAGGAGAAAGCGTACAGATTCTGCAGTGCTTCACTTTCAGAGACAGTGGGGACAACTTTAAACTTTTATCGTCACTAACGTTAAAGGAGCAATATTATGTGTTTCTCCGGCATACATTTAAATACTATACCATAATAAAGTATCTGTTTCCTTTAGTTGTTATTAAAATGCTGTTTTTATGCTTAAATAGAAAATAAACTTATCTTCTCATCACTTCCTCTTCTAAACGCTTGAAATTGGCCTCTGTCTCTTTAAGAATCACCTTCCGCTTCTGTCTTGTCCATTTCAGTGCGGGGGGCGGGGGGAGCGATTCGTGCTCGCGGGGGGGCTGCTATGATGCAGTTTACTTGGCATCTGAAAATACATTTCCTCAAAGGTATTTTGAATCTGAAAAGAGCTTCACTGAGTGTGAAGTAGTGGAACTCAGAAGACAGTTTTTAAGTTTCACTTTCACTTTCACCCGAGAGCCTGCAGGAGTCATGGGCGGGGTGTGTGGGGAGGGGGGAGGGGCGCTCTGCCATGAGGAAGCTCGGCTTAAAGACACGTCCCAGAGGCATTTCTGGTCCCCACCTGTCGTTTTGCTCCTCAGCATCGCTGCCTAAAAATGCTGCAGGATTTCTCAAACATCTGTTCTGAACTTCTTCCCACCTGCCTTCACCCTAAAGTATGCCCACATGTAAATCTGATCAATCAAGGTTTACATAAAACATGCCCACAACTTGACCAAAACTACGCCCAAACACTTTTATTTATTGACTGCAGGGACCCGTATCTGCTGAGTGAAGCCTAACCCAAAATTATTTGCTGCCCTTTTAAAAAGAACTCCATAATTCTATCACATTTTTAGCATTTCTGTCATTATCATTTGTGTTTCCCTGTTTTGTATCTGTTTAGTTATTTATGTTCTGCCTGGCAGATTTATTATTTTGTGCTCCAGTTTCCTACCGTTGTTTCCCCTCAGCTCCTCTGCATTGTCTGTCTCACACCCAGCTGTCAGTCATCTGCAATCATCCCAGCGGTTTTCATTTAGTAATCAGGTTTGTCTAATAGAAATCTAAAAATAGTTAAAAATTTAATATTATTTTACACTGTGTAAATATTACATAAATCAGAAGCAAAAACAGCTTGTGATATTTAATCATTTGTGCTAAATTGTAGAAGGATTCAGCACTCTGGATAACAATATAAGCTACAGAAGCTAATATCTGCTAACCAGTTCAATAATTATAATAGTAAGAGATTACATCAGCTTTATAAGCGTTTTTTTTATTTTTATATTGTTAGCTTCAGTTCTGGTCAGATCACATCCACTTTGAGGTAAATAAGATCAAATCTGCTTATTTGTGAAATGAGACATGTTTTCCTGTTTCTCTGTCTGTCCATCAACAAAGATTTCTGACAGTTACATTAGATTGTATACACTCAATATTAA